AGAGACCAAAGTTTGTCTTAACTTTTTTCTATTTTATAATTCATCGTTAATCTGGCCTACCCATTAACTTCATATTTTATGTTAATTAGTTGGACTATATTATTCCTTTATTGAACCTTGGTCCTTGGTAGGTGATGTCTGAATGCTCACCTGACCTTCTTGATTCCGCAATTTTATAATTAAGGAAGGGATTAATTATATAGTAAATCATTTATGTCAACAATGATTAGTTCTATATTTTATGATCGAGTCATGCAAATAATAATTTTATGTGTATTGTTTAAATTAATGTTAAAGTCAATGAAATGGTATTAACTTTTTTTAATATTATATTACTACCTCTTATTCTAAATATATGAGCTAAAAATATAATATTTAAATTTACTTTCTCTTTCAAATTTATAACTTTTTTTCAAAGTATCATATTAATTGCATATAATAAAAGGATTTTCATTAAGAAATAATTATAATATATAGGATTAGAAAGAATATTTTTAAAAAAAAAGTACGTTGGCTATAAAAAAAAAATAATTCACCTAATTTTTTTAATATTTACGGATTAATTGTATAGTTAGTACATTAAGGTTGGTGAAAGTACTTCTAAAAAAATCGATATTTTATCTTTAATGTTAATTGGCAGATCCTTTTCTTTTCACACACATGTGAAAAAAAATTATATCTAAAAGACTTACCACTAAAAAATTCAAATTGAAATTTTAAAAATTGTAAAGATGTTAAAGAACTAAAATAATTCTAAAATATCATAGTACTTCAATTTTTTTTTTCATAAAAAAATTTATAAAAATAATTATAAATATTAAATTTACCCTATTATAGTTTATAAATAGATCAGTCGTAATTTTCTAAAATCGTTTTATTAATTCTAAAAATAACTTTGTTTCATAAATCATAAATTATAATATACTTTTGATTTAGATATTTTAAGATTTATTTTTCAATCTAAATTTTTTCATGCTTGTCTTTCAAATTGAATAATCGATCACAAAATCACCAAAAAAGCAAAAAGGGAAAACAATTATCAGGTCTTATTTTATTCGTATGTTAACCCTGTCATAATTTATTCCTAGTTGACTGATTGACTGCAACAATTCGCGAGAAAAATGCGAAACTCGTACTTTTTTGACCTCGAAAAAGTGAAACTTATCCTAAGAAAATGAGAAATGAGAAAATTATAGTAAAAATGATTAATGCTCATATGATTTTTTTCTTGTTTGTTTTTAACCATCTCATTCGATTCTATTTATAAGATAAAGTGAGAAGGTTTGTTGGCCAAAACAATAGTAGAAAGAAAATTTTTTTTAATCATATTTATAAATCAATTCATAAAATTTGTAATATGAATATGCTATTTTATTTTTTATTTATTATTGTATATAATGGTGGGTAGCGTTGTCATTGGAACAACTTGCTGTTTTATGAAACAACTTACTGTTTTAACTAATATTTTTTCTATGAAAAATGTTAAAAGTGATATATAAATTTCTTATATGAGTAAGTTATAACCTTGATATTTGCAATTACATCCATTCAATATAATTTGATAAACATATACGGGTAAATATAGGGATTATATGATAAGTGCATCCAATCAGATTGCTTTCAATAGAAAGATAACCGTACGTAGGAAAAAAAAATTATATAATTAAAATTAGATAAATAAGTTATGTATAAAAAATGTGTGTTAATTTTTTTAAAATATTTCTTAAATCATTTGCATTAAAATTGTCTCCCAATGACAACTCTCTTAATATGTGTAATCTATCAATTAGTTTTAAAAAAAAAAATTCACAAATTTGAGTGACATAATAAACTGAAGTATTTTATTTAGGATTAAAATAAATGTCTAACTAAATTTTATATACAAGGATGGAGGGAACTATAAGTACTTGCTTTCCTATTTGTATGGTAAAATCTCTTTGGATTCATCTAGAGATCGAAGTGACCAATTAAAAATTAAGCTATAGGGGCACCATGTATATTTCGTTTCTTTAGAAGAATGAATAAAAGAATATTTATCATAATTTTTTGTAAGTTTTCATACGCATCATCGATTAATTAATCTAATATTGCATTTTTAACATTCATCAAGTGTTTGAGGAGAAATTATTTTATTTGATATTGATTTTTTGCTAAGCATTTTTATATTCCTAAAACAAAAAATCATTACATCCAACTAGACTTATTTCTAGGTTCACATATCATAGTTGAAAACAAATAGGAATCACTACATGCAATTTTACATAAAGGTGTATTTACTTTGTTGTTAATTTTAAATCAAAATGTTTTCTAAGATTAAAAGAGTAAGTAGGGTGAAAACAAGAAACAATGTGAAGACGAAAGAGTGTGAAAAAGTGTGCTGTTCAAAGGAGAGCGTGTAGTTTTCAACTTTAAAAAATTAAAAAGTCAAAATACTAGGATAAATATAAGAGGTGTGAGATGCACACAACATAAATATATTATGTTTATACTATGAAACATGTAGGCATGTCAAATATATGATCTAACAAAACTTAATAAGAATTGAAAAATATAATTAATTTATTTTAAGTAGTTATATTGAATTCTGTTTGCAAAAAAAGAAAAAAAAAAGAAGTTATATTGAATTGCTTAGCCGTTGGCAAAAAAATTCCTTAAGTATTTGTATTAATTTTCCATAACTACTCTTGAAGTTAATGAGTTTATTCGTTGGCAAAAGTTTAGGTGTCTTATCACTGGCCTCTCGACCGAGTGGTGTGTGTGTGTTTGGTGTGTGCGTGCAGGTTTGAGCCCACTCCCTTGTATCACCCAAAAAAAAAAGTTTAGGTGTCTTAAGTCATCGGGCTCATTAGAGCCAAGCATACTTTAAGGTCTAAAAAATGCTTATAAAAATGCTTATATATCGCTCACTAACAAAATACTTACATTGATAGTAAGATTTATACTTACAATTTTACAAGTTATTAGCCGACTCTATATCAAGTAGACTAACTTTTGTTAGCTAATTTTAATGAGATTTGATTCTCTTACTATCCTTCCAGTTTTCAACTAATTAATTAGGGTATTTTTTGGAAAAATTAATTAATATATTAGAAAATTTAAGAAGAGTCTTACAATAATAATAATAATCAAAACAAATTTTTTAAAAAATAATGTTATAAAAAATAGAGATTGTAAATTATATATACATAGTATATTAGTGGTGGGATCCTTTCCCTCGTATCAAAAAAAAAAAAAAATAGTGGTGTGAACATAATATTATTATTAGCCACGGGGACTGCCTCACAATTGTCCAAGGCTCAAATCTAAAACTACTAATTAAAGTAGTTTAATATAAAAACTACTTTAATTATTTTAAATAAGTTAAAAAAGTTTCAAAAAATTACTTAATTTTAATAAATATCAATTGATCTTCCTAAAATATCCTATATTATACTTAGATAAATTATTTTAGAAAAAATAATTAATACAAGAGAAAAACTGGATTAAGATATTACAATTAAGATTAAAATCAACTCTTTGACTAAGCTTTTTCATTGAGGGCTAGTATTTAAACAAGAATTATACAATATACATTTCAGAACAACACACATATATTGGTTCCCTATAATTAAGTGAATATGAGCTATTTATGGTGTTTATGATTATTAAGCATATATTATTGTGAAATAAACAAATGATGAATGGGAACAAATTGAAATTATTTTTATGAGAATACAAATAATGTTAGGTTTGCATTTATGTTGAAATTTAGTTGTCAGATGTATAACGTGTTAGTTGAAGTTGGATCAGATAGTGACGACATGCAGTTCATTCGTACCCAAAAGTCATATTTAGGAGTATGAATTTATATAATATTTTTTTAAAAAAATAAAAAGCATAACAAGTGTGAACCAAAGGATCTCATTTATTAAAAAAATTGGTCAACTAATTTTTATACTAAAAATTAGAGAAAGTACAATATATGAAGGGGTGTGCATAAGTTAATTCAAATTCAAATTTATATAAAAATTAGTTTGGCATTTAATTTTGATCATAAATATAATATCTAAGTGCATGTTATCTCTTATATTTATTATTTTTTTAAAATACTCTTCTGGTTTTTAATATAAAATCTATTTAACTAATTTGATTAGATTATAAAAGTTAGGTAAGTTAGTTAATTATAATAAATGTGATACTTTTTTCCTAAAACACCATAATCATCTTTTTTAATACCTCATCCCCTCTTCTACTTGGTTATGGTCAAGGGAGTATCTATAGGGGTAATTTAGAGAAAATTGATAAATATGATAAATGAGTCTTATATTTAGGACCAAAACAAACTTAACAACTGAATCATATATTAAGAACCGGAGGAGTAGTTTTTATAGTAGTTACATATGCTAAATGTTCCATTGGATAATAGCTTTGGCTAATACACATAATTAGTAAGGATACTTCAAAAAAAAATAATACCTAATTATTACAAATAACTAACTTAATAAACTTTTTTAATCTATTTAAATTAGTCAATTATTCTTATATTAAAAATCGTAAAAATCGTACGTAATAATATTAATAGAAATATTTCAAACAAGTCAATGAGGAAGTTTTCAACGCTGTGAAAGAAGCACAATGCCATGGCGGCGAGCACCGAGACCAGAGAGTGGATGATGAACACCGGAAAGTGAGGCTTCCAGTCGTCAGGCTGAGAAAAATTGCGGACGGAGAAGAAAGGTTGTCCCGATTTTCTAAAATAAACAATTAGAAAGTCCAGAAGAAAAAATAAAGAACACTTGTTTTCAGTTCTCTGTCTGACGGGAAAACAAACTGTTTTCAGAATAGGTAAACAAACATTAAGCATCTAAGGCGAGGGGCAGCGTGAGATTGGAACACAGATCGAAAGTTCAAGGAAGAGCATCTCCTCCCCAGTCAATATTCATATCCATTTTCTCTTCCCCTTCTTCTTGTCTTCTTCTTTCTTTTTCATTTTTTCAGTTTCTACCTTCTTTTTTTTTTAACCTTTCTGCCAAACCGCTCTCTTTCTCTCTCTTCAGTGCAGACTTCAGTTGCATATTAATAGTCTCCTACAATCCAAGTAAACGTGTTTAGCTAGCCTCCCTTCCCTCTGCTCACCTACTTGTTCCCTTTTTGACGCAAAGCTCTCGTTTCTTTCTCTCGGGAATTACTCCATCAATCTCACGGCTTTAGCTCCCATAACCTTCATTCTTCGTTTGGGTGCTTACTATATCTTCGTCTTCTTTCTTCTCCTCGACAATGTCAGTCTGGGTATAACCGAAACTCGCCTTCTATCTCTTCACCTATCACAGGCACGTTGATGGGTGTGGACTTCTTCTGACTTTCTACGGGACTCTGTTTTGTTTTGTGAGTATACAAATTGAGTTTTCCGATGGCTCTCAAGTGTGTGTGTATCGGCGGATGTTGGAAAACTCATCAGTCAGGGGCTGCGAATTTTCAGCCTGGAAATTCTGGTTTGATTATGAATATGAGATATGATCTTGAGAAATGCCGGAAATGGGAGTGTTGTTATCTGGGTGCTTTAGCTCAGAAAGCTGCGAATCCTATTGAAGACGACAAGAAGCCAGCTGTGACCGGGGCTGACTCTTCTGGGTCCATTACTGGAGTTCAGGAGAATGAATCCAAGGGGTTGATAAACCTTCTTCCTAGTGAGTTATACCCATCTCACATTCCTCAGAATGAAGTTTAGCATTTTATGTTTTATGAGGATTTGGAGAAAGCTTTTCCTGATCATTGCAGGCTCGCTCCACGCACAACTGCGATTCTGTGACCAATTAGTTATATCAGTGTCACATTTATCAGAATCAAAATGTGTTCCTCTGAGTGGCATTTGTGGAATAATATTGCGATCGATGCTTTATCTCTTCTGCTTGCACAGAATTTTGTAGTGGAAAGACCAAAATTCCTCAAGATGTTAAAGCGCATCTTTCTGAGTTTTGATCACATTTATATGGGTGCTTAGAATGCCTGAGACTTTTTTCCCCTCGTGCTTTTATACGAAAGCATACGAGGGAGATAATAGCTCATATTTGTCAATTGTCCAGTCTTTCTTCTTTCTTCGAGAGCTGATTGTGTTTGTTAATGCTCTTAATGTTATTCTTATATCTTAGTTGATATCATGATTCATGAGGGTAGGTAATGGCGTGTTGATGGAAGAAAGCCCTGCTCACATAGGAGACATAGCGAGTCATATTCTGAACTTTGCATTTCTTATCTCTCGGCATTACCTGATTTTCCCCCCCATCAACTCCCTTTACCCTTACTGTAAATTGTAACCACTAGAATAGAGAAAACTGATCATGATGTGATTTGTCCTGTTTGAAAAGGAAATATAAAGGGAAAAGAAATAATGAGATGCTTTTGTACAGATAGCATAGTCTACTTGTGCATAGAACATAAATTTTTCTTCATGTTTAATCTAGTGTTTTGCATATGGAGTCATTTTGGTAAAGGAATTCAAATGGTGGACTCGGGGTGTACCATCTAAACTCTTGTCACAATGTGATGCCCTGGATGAAGCATGGTTCTCAGTGCTGGTGTGCACTCCATGCTCCTTTCCTTAGATTCCAACATATAAACATGCGGTTAGTTTAATGATCCTGCGCCCATGGATCTCATAAATGGTTGCTGAGCTGACTATAATAGAATTTTATGTAATGTATGATTCCACAAATTGTACTCCAAATGTAATGGATGAAGCATGGTTTTCAGTGCTGGTATGCACTCCATGTAATGTATAATTATAATTGATCTCATACTTCAAATGTCTCGCTATTGATGATTTCAGTTACAAGTTGAACTCTAATTGTCAAAAGTACACTCCAAACCATGCAACTATGCATACATGTGCATGTGTGAGCACGCAGACAAATGGAATATTCATATCATGACGCAGCCTATATCTTTCATGCAACTGATAAGATCTTAAACCCGTTTGTATTTTATTTCTTATGTTATTTTCTTTATTACAGAGCCATTAAGTGCACTTGACTTGTCATCTTCTCCTAGTGATGGGTCAAAGGTACAGGTTGCTTATCAGGTATAAGTATAAATCTTATTAATTTCTTTTGAAAAAAATATTTACTTTCATGGCATTATGGCCATTCTTAATAAATCAGTTGCCTGATACAGGGCCAACCAGGAGCATATAGTGAGGAAGCAGCTTTAAAAGCTTTCCCAAATTGTGAACCTGTGCCATTTGATGAGTTTGAAGCTGCATTTAGGGTTTCAATACTTGATTCCTTATAATTTCTGTTTGCATTAACAAATTGCTGTAATGATGATGCAGTTGTATTCTTTATGCAGGCAGTGGAATTGTGGATAGTTGATAAAGCCATTTTGCCAATTGAAAATTCTGTTAACGGAAGCATCCACCGTAACTATGATTTACTTCTACGCCATAGACTACATATTGTTGGAGAGGTGCAGCTGCAAGTTGACCATTGCCTCTTAGGATTGCCTGGTGTGAGAAAGGAGGAGCTCAACTATGTCATAAGTCATCCTCAGGTCAGCCTCTGATTCTTAATCCATCTTCATTTCAGTACAATTTGCATCATAAAATGATGTATTGTCTTTCCTGTTCTGATCATAATGACTAGTGCATATGAACCCACCTCGTGATCCCACCAACTTACCCAGTATAATAGATGAAATTATTTCTCAATTAGGTTTTCTTTATCTTTTCCATTACATAATAATTAAATCTAGGAAGAGAATTACTGGTGCAAGTCAACTTATATCTTTGAACTGGATCCATGCTGGCTGCTGCATATATTTTTTAATACACTGATTTATCATCTAGATGACCATACCTATCGGCGAGAAATATATCCAGCTATAGTCATTTCAATTTTTAAAAGAATAATTTAATTTTACATCCAGGCTCTTGCTCAATGTGAAGGGATGCTTGATGATTTAGGTGTTACTAAAGTTGGTTCACCAGATACTGCTGGAGCTGCTCAGGTATAAGATTTTTTTTTTTTTTTTTGGCTGAGTGAAAGGAAGGATTGATAATATTGTAGAATGGTACTGCCTAACAATTGGTAAGTTGTGAACAGAAAGTGTCCTTAGAAGGTAGAAGAGATACCGGAGCTATTGCAAGCTCCAGAGCAGCAAAATTATATGGCCTTGACATTCTCAAGGAAAGAATCCAGGTATGACGTTCACTTTTGCCTCAAAAAACTGATTTTCAACAATATGTGATCCTAGCTTATGCTATTTCTCTTCTTACAATATGCTTTCCATTTTTTTAATGGAAAGACGTATATCATTGCAGGTAAGATGAATTAAGATCTGCAAATGTATTGGGATGATGTCCCATCCTGTCTCCTTCTAGCGCCATAACCATTTTTTTTTTTGGGGGGGGGGGGGGAGGGTGTTCTAATTTTTAATGCATGCATGTTTCAAGGACTAGAGAGTTATCATTATAGAATCCGGGAATAAGTTCTGGACTATGTTAACTATGTGGTTTTGATGCGACTACCTGTAATGTTTCCGAAAAATGAGCCCTATGTCTCACTTGTGTGGATTAATCATGCTTTTAATTTTCTTAAAAATAATTTGTATAGTTGTCTTTGTATAAATTCATATGCTTGCACTTTATCATGCGATGTAAGTCCATTATGAAACAATGTTTATAATTTATCATTCCCTAATATGTTAAACTTATTAAACTTCTTACATCCTATTCTTGCTGTCCTTTTTATGAGCATTTACTAAAAACATGTTAGTAGTTGTTAGTATGTCAGACCAGAGTTGTGCTGATTCTTTGCTATCTTGTTAGGATAACGATGAGAATATCACTCGTTTCTTGATTCTTGCAAGGGAGCCGATAATTCCAGGAACTGACGGGCTCTATAAGGTAAAGCAAGCTTAGCTCTTCATTTCTATATACATATATATATTGAATGTTCTGACAAATTCATATTTCTGCCAGACTAGCATTGTTTTCAGCCTTGAAGCAGGTCCTGGTTTGCTTTTTAAAGCACTGGCAGTGTTTTCTTTAAGAAACATTGGTTTGACAAAGGTGAGAAATAATAAAGATCTTTATTACAATGTAGAATTTAACTATTTAAGATTCTCATTTGTTATGATTGCTTTTTTTTATGTGATTTCAGATAGAGAGTCGTCCACTGAAACAATGTCCACTAAGGATTGTTGATGACTCCAACGAGGGAAGTTTCAAGTGAGTATGGATTTTTCCCTCTTTTGTGAGATCTGCAGTCATGAATAAATCTTTCAAGTTTGGGCACATGTCTGATCGGGTCGACACACGTGAAGATGAAATGAAAAGATGAGTCTTGAGATGGACTTGAGGACTAGCTGGAAGATGTTAAAAGAGAAATAAGGGGGGATGTGAAATAATTTATAACATTTAGATGACTAAATAACTTAAAGTTGTTGAATTACTAATTCATCAACTAAAACATCCCTTGTCATGAAAAGTTTATTTTCACCACTCCCTTTCACGATGCCAAAGAAAAAGCTGAGGAACATGGCTTTGGTGTTATTTCATGAGCAGGATCAAATCATTCTGGTATTCTAAATTGAAGTTTGTTGTGAAATTATGATTATGACTTAAAAGTTCTGGTGGCAGGTACTTTGACTACCTCTTCTACATTGACTTTGAAGCTTCTATGGCAGACCCTCGTGCACAGTATGCTTTAGGACATTTGCAGGTTAGCCCACCATATTTCCTGGACTCAAGTTCAATATTTTTGTTTCATCCGGTGTTATTTCTGACTTTATTCTTTTGATTACTCTCATCTACAATTCTCTTAGCCTGACGTTTTTTACTATCCACGGAATTGATTTTCTCTGTCTTTCAGATTCTAATACAGAATGAGACTGTCTAGTTATTCAAGCCTGAAGCATCCATTTCAACTTTCAAATATATAATACTATTTATCATCTTAGGTCAAACTGCTTTTACCTTAAATAAGCGGAGAGAAAATCTATATAATTGTTATGATTGGATGTTGTGGTGTTTCTTTCCTATAAAGCTTTAAGTAGAATCATTGATTGATAAATTACAGGAATATCTACGAATTTAGATCCTCTGAAGTTACAAGCTTGTGAAATGCTTCTAAAGTAAGAGAGATATAGAGAGAAAAGAGAGAGTGGGTGGAAGGAGAATAAATGTCTCCAATACACTATTCTACAGCCTGTGTCACCCTCTTTCTAACTTTCTAGGGCATTACAAATTAGAATGGTTATAAATTAGTGCTTTTGCTGCTATATCTGAAATTGTTCCTAAGAAAGCAGCCTCACATATAGAGAAAATTAACCTCTCGTTTCCAAGTCAGTTCCATGTTACATTCATAAAATCCTTTGCCTCACATGTGATATTCAAGAATTCCCAGTCATGTCCTCAATATGGTATTGCCAATGGTATATATAATTCTGATGTTACTTGGGGAATAAGCAACCATATCGGCATCTCATGTGGCTACTTTAATCAATATTAATGAAATGTAATTGTTGACTTATATTGTGAACACAGTCAGAATTTGCTTTTAATTTCAGGAATATGCTCGGTTTATTCGTGTTCTCGGTTGTTATCCTATTCACACAAGCAGAAATTCATGACTGGGAGGGATCTGTCGACTCTAATGCATTAGCTGTACAGTTTACTGATCCAAGAACAAACCATTACCGATGGAGGTTCATATACAAACAAGGGGGAAGAGGATAAAACATCTTATGAAACCATTCTAGGAATCTCCTGAGGAGTCATACTGAAAAATAATAATGTCATGTAGTTTTTAACGGTGTTGAGTAAATCCCAATAAGGGGACTGTTACCCCCGGGGGGAAAAAAATCAATAAGGGGATCCTCCTTGAGTTATAATCATATATGAACAATATGGTTTTAATCATAGAAGTTTGTCACTTCAAACAGCAAATTTCTGGGTTTTTAGCTATATAGTTTCTTGGTTTTTTTTGTTTTGTTTTTGGCAGCCAAGCATGACACTTAGAGCAGTTTTTTTTTTTTTTTTTTTTTATGTGTTCACTTTTCTTGCAAAAGAAGAAAGCAACTTTGTTGCTTTTGATTTTAAATTGCATACCTCTCTCTGCGGGGCCAAATAGGAATATTTCCATCATTACCTCAGATATGTAAATCTTTTAATGAAGGTGCCATCAATCTTTGATTAGACATGAATCATAAATAATAAATGTCAAATTATATAACCCTTGATTTATGATTAAAATTATTTGGTCTTAAATATAGAAAATAAACAACTAATTTGCATAAATGAAAAAAAAGTTAATTAAGTTAATAATTTATTAAAAAAATATGTGTTAGTTTTCTTAAAATGTCACATTTAGTCATTTGCATTATAGCTACTCTATTGATAACAATCCTTTTTACACGCATATTTAGAAAAAAAATTATAAATTTAGAAACTAAAGTATATTGATATTTTATTTACATTTAAAATCAAAACAAACTCTTCAAATAGCTTCTATATTTAAAACTAGAGGAAGTACTTGATAGGTTACACTTCCTAGAATATCATCTTTACGCTTTATATGACCACTGTACATTCAAAAGTTTTTAAATGAACCAAAGTATCTCCACATTTTATATAAATCTCTCTTATTAATCCAAGTGCCACATGCATACTAGTTATTTGGTTTTCTGATTTTTAAAAGTACTTTCATATAAATTGAAATAAAATTCCTTTAACATATTTACTTCGTATACTGTAAAATCATTTTTAAAATCATAGTTTGATTTCTATTCAAATACTTTAAAAGTCCAACTTCACTTTTTAAGTGATGATATGAAATCATTTATAAATTGGAACATTGTACGAAAACTCTCAAGTTTTTATTTCATTATTTTTTTTTAAAGAAAAAACATCAATTCGATCATACCCTAAGAGAGAATTCCCTCGTAACATTCACTTTAGGTTGAAATTTAATTGAAAAGTATTTTTATATTTATTTAGAGATATACGTAGTATTTAAAAACTAGAATATGGGCTTGCCATTGTATAGGAAGAATTACACCATTCAGAATTTATCAACAATATAGTTTCTATACATGTTATATTATACTCCTCCGGTCTTAATATAGGACTCAATTGTTAAGTTGGTTTTGGTCTTAAATATAAGACTCACTTCTTATATTTATCAATTTTCTTTAAACTACCCCTATGAATACTCCCTGAAGGGAGATGAGGTATTAAGAAAGATGATTATGGTGTTTTAGAAAAAGTATGTCACATTTCTTATAATTAACTAACTTACCTAACTTCTTTAATCTAATCAAATTAGATAAATAGGTATTATATTAAGGACCGGAGAAGCATTATATTATATTATATATATATATATATATATAGAAGAAACGAAAATTGGACTAGGGTGTGGCAATCCGCACACTTCGTCTTAAATATAAAACCTTAATCCATCATATTATTTACATTTATTTTTTTTACAAACTAATTTATCGAACTTATTAACCAATATATATTATAACATTATATAGATATTTTAAAGATATCATGTCCCATTTGTTAGAATTTAATAATTATTTAATGTCATTAATCCACTCAAATCATTTAAGTAACTATTAGTAATAAATCAGATCAGAGGAGTGTGTGTATTTGAAAGAGGAGCCTCATGGCGATGGACAAGTTGGAAGGGCGACTGGGTGAGTACGAGAGAGGGGTCCCATGAGTGGGAGGAAGGCGAGTGAAGCGGCGTGTTATTTCTTGAACTGAAGGTCCCTAGTGTCATTATATTGGTATATTCCTTAAGAGTCCTTTTTAGTATTGGATTAATCTATTTTTATCTTATATTAAAATCTCACTCCCTTTACTAACAACTGTTGATTGATGTGGTCGAGACTTCATCTTCATAAGGAGAACACAAATTCCAAATCCTAAAAACTGTTACCGGCTCGAAAAGAACTAGTCTCAAGCTCAATATAATTTAAAAATACTTTTTGTTCCACCTAAAAACAATCTCACCCTTCTTTCAATTAAAAGGGCAAACATTAACAAGGTTAGAAATTCAAGAAGCTTTGGCAATCACATCCTGTTGGAGATTTTCACTCACTTCTATGTAGGGCAAAATCAGACTTTGGGCATGGCGGCCTAATTGTGTTAATCCACATGAAACCCAACAAGTTAAAGGCCCCTGGTCTGCTCCCCACAACAATGTGAGCGTGTGGCAACTCCACTGAGCTGGTGCACCTTTAGAGGAATTGCCCCCTCAAAAATATACCTTAACTTGTACTACAAAATTACTTTAACATGCTAGACGCAGTACCGGATCAACCTTTACCCAAATATTTATCCCCATCCATGACAATTTAATTTGTAAAGTCCTCTTTCATTTTACAAAACATAAATATTTCCATAACGACAAAAATATTACAATACATGCTTTGAAAATGAAAAAGGAAGACAATATAAATTATAAAATGCTTAACAAAATATATTTTTTTGGGTTATAATAGAAAAGTTTGATTTCAAAGGTTCACAGAGAATATGATAAGCCTCATACTTTTAGATATAGATTATACACAACCATCAAATTATCAAATTTACAGTGAGATTCGAACACAAAATCACATGTTTACTTACCCATCAACCAATTTTCATTGACCTACAATCCTAGGCGCAGCATCGTAGACTATACACAAGTAAACATAAATTGCTCAAGATACGAACTGAAATAAGATGCTTCACGCAACAAAGAAAGACATTTCAACCACCTAGCACTTAGATCAACTCAGGAATCGTTCTCGCCTAACCAAAAGTCACAAGTTCCTTTGAGAATGCAGCAGTATAAGTGGTAGGATCACACCCCCCCCCCCCAATACGGGTCCTACCATGGCCCGATCCGGATTAATCTGGTTTATAATTTTTTAAGGGGTTGGCCAGAATACCAAGTGCATACACCCTAAGAAAAAAAGAAAACAGACATTTCAATAGGTAGATTGATAACATCAACCATGTTTCTAAGACAACCGCACAACCAGCACCTACAAAAGCACTCACTCTTCACTCATCACAGAGAAGTAGACTAGACACAGATGCGTAACGTCCACTCATCACAGACAATATATTATTCATTACAAAATCACTAGTAGAGTCATCGCTCTTCATTTCAATTCCTTCAGGAAGTCTTCATTGTCAACCAGCACCTACAAAATCATTCCAAAGATGAATATGCTTGCCAATAACAATGGCAGAAGATCAGCAAAGGACAGTGCATGCTCAAAGTTACTACAGTTCAACATTCACATTTTGGCAGCATTCATGGCTTTAATCACCGAAGAAGATTTTCTTTCTTTTTTTTTAAGGGAAAAAAAGATTTCAGAATATGCATGGCATGTGATGCAATGTCTTAGTTGAAGGTAAAGCAAAAAAATCAACTCCTGCACTTAAAAAAAAATTAAAAACAGAGTGGTGGAAGTTTGTAAGTAGCCAATAGGCATTGAACAAAATCAGATCTATTTGGTGAAACAAAAAGATACAAATAGTTCTAAATATGATTATTGATCTTCTAACAGCTTTCAAAGACGAATTTGATGAAACGACGAAAATTTTTTTTTTTTAAAAAAAAAAGCATCAAATCACAACATTGGCAGCCCTCCTAACAGACATGCATGTAACATTATAATTCACCTATCATTCCGACAACTACTCTCTCATGCGCAAACGAATTGGAGGGGAAAAAGGTCATCCTTATTATATGAAAACATTTTAAAACTCACAGTTTTCCAACCATCCGGATCCAAGAAAGAAGTGATTTTTGTGTTAATGCCAGGAATTGGCCCTGGCTGCCGAGTAATCTTCCCTCCCAACTCTTGTATGACATGGTTGACAACCTCAGCGCTCTTGTATACATCATCAGTGCCAATAGCAACCTGAAAGAGATACCACAATTTTTATCAGAAAGGCAGACAAAGATGTGCTGATAAACCAATTTAGTATACAAATGGATATACTAAACCCCAATGATGTATCAACTAACCTGAGCATATGCATTTCCCTTAGTGTATTCAGTGACATCATAGTTATATGTCAACTCCAAGACGGTTGTCTCATGTTCCTCTGCATACCCAAGCATGGCTAACGTGTACTACAATAGCAATCAGGAACATAATTCAGAAAAGCAAAGCAGGTCACAACCAAAGCAAGTGGACTACTTTTCAGGGTCAGTTTAAGATAATTTACCTTGTACTCAGGTCTATCAACTTTCTTTACCACCTTCATACCCAAAGCCTGCAGAGATGTTATATTAGAGCACATAAAATCAGACTATAAAATTAGATTATTTCATTTGGATCATAATACAAATGCAGCTTGGATGCCGTTAAAGTGTTCATGACAAGCAAAAGTTGGCAAATTTTAATCCAGGTTCTGAAATTGACGTGAAATAGAAGGTCAATGTTTTATCTCTTGTGCACTTCAGTGAACTAATAATAAAGCGCAAAAATGCAGTTAGTTATCATCTAGATTTGAAACCCATGGCTGAAAGATTTGCCTGCAGGATGTGAAATTAAATGATAACAAAAACACCCTCAAAGCATTACTTCAGCCTAGAGGCCTACGACTGCATTGCTATTTTACTAAATATGTCAGCAGGTGAACGTTCTTTCATGTTGTTTCAGTACGGTTCTACAAAGTAATATCTTCAAGCTTAAAAGTAGTTCGTACAAGCAAAAGCAAAATCTACGAAAGTCAAATTGTGAAAATTTATCAAATTAAAGTTTGTAGACAATATATGCTTGAACACCTGCACTACAAGAAGTTTCACTAAAGCTTGAGATTAAATAATAAATTGAACATGGACTACTACCTTTTCATAAAACTTAATTGAGCGCTCTAAATCACCAACGCGAAGCATTACTTGACACAGTGGCTCAGGGGTTGATGCTCTTTGGATGAGCTCAAAAGTGTAACCATCAGGGTCCTTCACAAATGCAATGACAGTGGTCCCACCCTTAACTGGACCAGGCTCCCTAGTGATGTTTCCACCCTTGGCCCGGATGTCTTCAACCATTCTGTAAACCTAGAAAACAACATATTCAATTAATCTTCAACACAGACAAATTGATACTTGAGAGTCTGTGAAAGAAATGTCGAGCTTACATCTGGAGTTGCAATTGCGAAATGTCCAAAGCCAGTTCCAATATCATAGGAGCTTACCCCATAATCTGACCCAGATAAAAAAATTAAAATGATATAGTTAAGAATATGAAATTCATCTTTGTGCGAAAGAAATTATGTTGTGTGCAATTCAATGAAATGCAGTTCACAGGATAAGCGATTTCCAAGTAATCCAAAGCAAAACAAACACGTTATATGTAAGGAACAAAATTCAAGAGCAGTAATTTCTATGTTTAAATTGAAGTTCTCGTGTGAATATTCTCTTCAACTCAAAATCACACAATTGCATTTTTTTTGTCCCCCAAAAAAATGGTTCCACGCCAATCGACAGCAAACACCTAATGAACTTACAAGGATACATGGCCATGAACCACTCACTGCGTGCATGAAACCTAACACTATAAGCAAGAGGTTCGGCAACTTACTATATGTTAATTCCACAACAAAATGGTTTTCTTCAGGGCCAAATCCAAGAAAAGCATTGGAGTATTTTTCCTCTGGGACATCTCTTTTCCTCAAGAGCTTCATTCCAAAACATTCAGTATAAAACCTAAAAGGAGTGAAGAAAAGTTGAGCATCTAAAGGCACATATTATACATGACTAAAATCAATGTGATGTTGCACTATCTTACTTGATGGTGCGGTCAAGATCACCAACACGGTAGACAGCATGAAGGAAGCGGCGCTTATCTTTCTTTGGCCACTCCAACAATTCTTGACTAGGAGCAACTGGTGCAGTCTCAGCCATATTGTTAGAGCTGTAACACAACCAGACGAGGTATTCAACTTGATGAGAAAATAATAGAATTGGTGACCAGAAAGAGACTGATCTAGCAAACAAACAGCCCCAACTCCGTTTAGAGTAAAGCTATATCAGAGAAAAATTCAGCAGATAAGTCAATTTAATCTATTTATTTAGCTCCATCGATGATATCGGTTTTATTATACGAAAATGAACAAACTCATCATTTGGTCCCTATATTACTAGGCCCATTTAGCTTTACCGCTTGAGTCCCGATTAATTAATAAGTTAACGAGTTAATCTCTGAGCTCGTTTGAGTTTAGCATCAACATATACATTATCTTCTTAGTGAAAGATCATAAAAAGAAAATATTCATTGCTGCTTCCTCTAAGATTCGGGAAGTGAGCTCCCTAACGCTAAATCTTGACACAAAATCGTCAAACGCCAAGCCTTAAGCTTTCCTGACGAAGAGCGTCAACAATCAACAAACATAAATGAAAACCCCAGCACCCAGATTAAACTGTACGAACGAAACCCAAAAAATAGCTCACCACCAATCACCGACGACAGTGTACAAAATCAAACACAACCAAACAAAAAACGAACTGATCCAGAGAAATCAAAATTATTCATCTCTGCTCACAGCCAAACCATGATAAAAATTTCTAGCCAACACGATCGGTGAATGTGAGTTCTGTAGAACAATCTAAACACAGGTAGAAGACTAACCAGTGAGAGTGTGACGATCGAGTGAGAGAGACAGAGGCACCCTAGAAGGCTAGAATGATCTCCAGCAAGGAGACTGGGCGTTACTAAATAATACTACCCGGTAAGGGGGTTATTGCAAGCGTGACTGCCTGTCACCGTGGATTGTCCACCTGGCAGTAGCCTATTGGCTATTCTAAAAATATCAAAGGAAAAGTCAAAACTCTCATGAATATGGACGCGATTTGTGCGTTTAGTGAGAGAGGATCGTGGCAAATTGTAAAGTGTTTCTGTACCTTGGATGTCAAGTTAGCATTTCCCTGGGGCAGTAAGGGCACCTTTGGCTATCGTCAAGTCAAGAAACGATGGAAAGGTATGGTCCCAAACAGGACTTTAAAGTTTATTACATGGCCGCATGTTTTCTGGCCACGTTAATTTTTCAAAATATACTTTTAAAATGGGAAATTTGAAAGAAGATATAAAATACTCCTACTCTCTAGAATTCGATTAAAAAGTTTAAAACTTTAACATCCAGTTAATTACATAATATCATGGACTTTAATATCTCATTAAATGTCATTAAATCGCACTTGGCCGCTCAAATCAAAAATTAAAAGTTAATTATTCTTTTGGCTTAAAATTTAAAAAGAAAAAAAACAAATTGGTGAGTGTCCATTTTTATCTCAATTAACGGTCACATCCTGATAATGAAGTGAACGGTTGATTTTCTTTTTCGTAACCATAGGGAAAAGACCTTTTTAGGCCCCGATTAGAGAAAATTGCGTGTTAGTTTCAGGTAAATAAACAAATTAATTAATAATTACTCATATACTACCTCCAGTCCTTAATATAAAATCTTATTTGACTTTTATTTTGATCCTAAATATAAGACCTCAATCTATTTTGTCTCTCATATTTATGTATTTTTTTCCAATATAGTCTTTCTAATAATTGTAATTTTAACCAATAATTGATTAGTAAGGATATTTTAGGAAAGACAACACCTATTTATCACAAATAACTAACTTAACTTATTTTTTTCATCTTCTCAAATTAGTCAACTCGTTTTTATAATTCTTATAATTAGGATGTACTACCTCCGGTCCTAATTATAAGAGCCAGTTGACTAATTTGAGAAGATTATGATAGTAAGTTGAGTTAGTTATTTGTCCTAAATAGGCGTTATCTTTCCTAAAATATCCTAACTAATAAAGTGTATTAACTAGAACTATCATTGTTAGAAGGACTACTTTGAAAATATATATATAAATATGAGAGATAAAATAGATTGGAGTCTTATATTTAGAATCAAAATAAAAATCAAATAGGATTTTATATTAAGGAGCGGAGGTAGTATTTCACAAGTTTGATTTATTATTAATTAATAATTAAAAAAAGCGGAGCCCAAATCGTTTCAATTCACGTGTTCATAGTCTTTTACTGTTTGTTTTTCTCTGCGGGGTCCATGGATGCTTTCTGACTTCTGAGTGCTCGGACTTTCGCCTGCCCTTGGAATTATTTATACGGCACGTGTAAAATATTTGAATTAATTTTAAAAAAACAAACAAACAAATAAATAATTAAAAAGCTGAAAGATGGGAATGGACAGGCCAAAGAAGGGGCATTTTTTAAAAAGCAAAAGGTCCAAAAAGTTGTGGCTTGCAGGATTTCCTATTTCTTAATCTTAAGAAGTTGTCCTCAGAATATCTCGTGGTTATAATTATAGTTTTCGCAATAATTAAGGGCTTTTTGCCCCAAAGAAAAGAATTAGGAAAAATTAGTAAAAAAAATTCCTGTCTAAAAATTTAATTAGCTAAACAACCTGAATTTGAGCACGTACAAGTAATATTAGGATGATTGTTATATATAGTTGATGATATATTATACATATGGAGAAATATATTGCACTCGCTCAAATTCAGATTTTTTTAACTAATTAAATTTTTAAACAGAGATTTTTTTTTTTTACTAATTTTCCCAAAATCTAATCAGATCCTGAATTATCATTTTCCCTTATGTCCAAACTTGGGCCTCACAAAATGAGTAGGGTGACCAAGCGAGGCCCATGATTGTGTGCATAAACACGCTTGGACCAGATTAATGAAACGGCCCATCCCTCCTCCTAGCTTCAGAGGCCTAAATATTACTCCTCTTTTTTTTCCCCTTAGGGTATGTTTGGTATGAGGGATTTGGAGGGAAAAGGGAAGAATTTTAATCATTTCTTTTTATTTGGAAATACACAAATTTTAGGAGGGATATTTTGGAGGAAAATAATAATATTTTGCCATATTGTTACCATTATACCCATATTTTGTCATGTAATGACCATTATGCCCATATCTTAAATAAAATAAGGGTAAAATTGTCCATGTTAAAATATTTTTTCCTCCCCTCTCTTCATGAATCAAACAAGGTAATATTAAAACTCCTCCCCTCCCCTCCCTTTTTATAAATCCAAACAAGATAATATTAAAATCCTTTCACTCTTCTCCCCTATCTTTCCTCTTATTGAGCCAAACAGACCCTTAAAGAAAAAAGAGAATGGACCTATAATTTTGAATTAATGGCCTTACTTATGAGCTTGGCTTTTCTACGCTTGAGATCACATGGTTAGAGAAGTACAAAAATAAAAATAACGTTTAACCCCAAGTTATAAGATTAGGCAATGTAATATCAATGTAAAAGATATCTAATATAATCTATCTAATAAAAATTACCCCGTCCAATACTTAATATAAAAGTTAGTACAAGATTAAATTTGGTCCTAAGTATAAAATCATAATATGCTTCAATTCTCATATTTATCTTTTTTTTAAATTTATTTTTCTCACTTATGAACCAATGTGTAACCTAATGTTATGTAAGGATATTTTAAAGGCATCACATCATATGTGTTATAATTAACTTATTTGTTTAACTTTCTTAATCTAATCAAATTAATTATAAGTAGTTCTTATCTTAAGAATTAGAAGATTGATTAATCTATATACATCTATAATATAGTGACATGACGTTGATTAATATTAATCTAATTTTACAAGTAAGTGTTAGTCAATATTATAGATTCTGAGAAGTGTGTTCAGATGAAATTAACACAAATTAAAGTATGTGATATTTCCATTTTTATCAATTTTTTTTAGAGTTTTTAATTTGAATATTCAAACGTTTATCAAAATATTTCCTTCTTAAGTGTCAAAGTAAAATTGAGTGTATGTGATTTTGTGTGCGCCTCCGTGTACATGTGGATGTGTGCATGAGATATTTGAATAGGTAAATTTTAGGAAGAATTATAATAAAGTTCTACAGAAAAAAGATAATTACCGCTAAGTTTCAATAACAAGTGCAGAGTTACTATTTCCTATTATAAAACTCCTCGCTACAAGCTGCCATGTTTGTCAATGAAATTTTTTAGTAATTATGTTCATTCATTGAGACTTCATAGCAAATCTCTCTAAACTTTATCGTTGACCAGACAATGATAATTAGAATAAGTTATGAGAAATCTGTGATTAGAGATTAGAGTGAAAAAAAATTGAATATTGCTAAAAGAATAGTGTTATGGCTAAAAGAAGGAACATAAATGTATCACCTGCTTAGGCAAGGAGACATAAGGTTTGACTTGTTAGCAATCCTTAAGATGACTACCCCTTTTATCACTATATCATTTTGTGGGGCTCGGCAGTTTTAATAATTAGTTATTAATAAAAGGTAAACACTTGTAAGTTTACAACACAATAAATAAAATAGAATTTCATGCAATAATAAATGTCCTTAAATATACAACCTTTCTATATACTCTTCTGGTCCTATCTATAAGTCACTTTTAATACATTTCACACAAATCAAGAAAATTTTTAAACTTTTTTAACTATCATTTAAAATTTAATAACTTTTTAATTTTATCCATATTTAACATATATTATACATTATGTAAACAAAGTCAACATAATAATAAATCGATCAATACAAAAAAATTTTCTCAGTGTCCTGTAAATAGAACCAAAAAAATGCCTACTCTACCTGCCCTGCAAATAGGATTAGAGAAGTATACAATCAAAGGTTGAGTAGGGGTTGTGTCCATATTGATGGAAATATCAAAATACAATCTTGTGCATTGTGCGCAAAAGAAAACCCTAGTTGTTTTAAGAAATAAAGAGAAGAGAGATCATCAATATAAAATTATGAAATATTATTTTCTTGTGTTACTTTTATTTAACGTGCAAATTATGCAGTCTAATTTAATTCTGTGAGTTTACTTTTTGGATAAAAGGAGCAGAACAAACTAGAGTTCTAAATAATTATTTTTGTTTATCTTAGAATAAAGGGAAAATTGCAAATAAAGACCCCTGAATATATAAAATAGCAATCAAGGACCCTGAATTTGAGAAATTGCTCACAAGGACCCGGTCCCAATTTGCAATTATGAAATCATGACCAAATTACCAAAATACCCCTCTTTAATTTTTTTTTTAAAAAAAGAACACCACTGCGGCGCCGGAGTTCCGGCCGCCGGAGCTCCGCCACCTCAGCCGCCGGCTGCCGGAGCTCCGCCACCTCGGCTGCCGGAGCTCCGATGCCGGCGGCCGGATTCCGGTGGCCTTCCTTTATTTTTTTTTTGAAACTGTTTTTTTTTTAAATTGAGGGGAAGTGAGGTTGGGGGGATTTGATCCCCCAACCTCATGCTTCCCAAAATTAGGAATGACCATTGAGCCAACAAATTTTTGCTAACATTATAATACAAAAAAAGAAATAAGTTAACTCATTTACTCTTATTCCAGGTGATAACAAGAATACATTTGAAAATAACAAGTTCTAATTATAAAATAACAAGTCTGGGATTAAAATTTAACAACACGTTTTTTTTTATAACAACACACTCTGTTGCAGGTGATAACAACAATACATTTGAAAATAACAAGTTCTGATTATAAAATAACAAGTCTGGGATTAAAATTTAACAACA